TATCTATCTATCTATCTATCTATCTATCTATCTATCTATCTATCTATCTATCTGTCTTTCCCTCTTTGAATCAATTCAGATGAGAGTCAGGTTCAAGTATTGCTTTCCCCCCTCCATTTCCCCCTGCACTGTAAAAGCTCTTTTTCATGTTCCTATTTTATGTAAGATAATTTCCCACACTTTTCCTCTCCCTTGCCCCAGTGCATCCATTTTTCTTATCCTCCCCCACTTTTTAAAAATCACCCCAACATTTTTCCTTTGTTTATGTAGATTTCTTCTCATGGCTCCAATGATGATAAGGTTCTTAGGAGTTACATGTATCACCTTCACATACAGCAATATAAAGAATTTAACCTTATTAAGTCCCTTATGTTTTTTCTTTTTATGCTTATCTTGAGTTTTGTATTTGAATGTCAAATTTTCTATTTAACTCTGGTATTTTCACCATGAATAGAGGCAGCTAGGCAGTGCAGTGGATAGAGCACTGGCCCGGGAGTTAGGAGGATCTGAGTTCAAATGCAGCATCAGGTACTTGACACTGACTGTGTGACCCTGGACAAATCACTTAATTGACTGCCTCACAAAAAAGCAAAACCAAAAAAGTCTTCTATGTCATTAAATATCCATTTCCCCACCTGAAGGATTATACTCAATTTTGCTGGGCAGGTTGCTCTTCACTGTAATCCTAGCTCCTTTGTCTTCCAGTACATCATATTTTAAGTCCTTTGCTCCTTTAACATGGTAGGTGTTAAATCTTACGTGATCTTGACTGAAATCCATGGGATTTGAAAGGTTTCTTTCTGGTTGCTTTTATTTTCTCCTTGACCCAGAAGCTCTGGAATTTGGCTATAATATTCCTGGGAGTTTTCATTTTGTGATCTCTTTTAGGAGATGATCAGTGGATTCTTTCAATTTTTATTTGCCTTCACTTCTAAGATATCAGGGCAGTTTTCCTTGATAATTTCTTGAAAGATGATGTCTAGGATCTTTTAAAAAAAATCATGGCTTTCAGGTAGTTCAATTAATTCTTAAATCATCTGTCCTCAATCTATTTTTTAGTCAGTTATTTTCCTGAAGAAATATTTCAAATTTTCTCCTATTTTTTCATTCTTTTGCCTTTGATTGTTTCTTGATGTCTCATGTGGCCATTAGCTTCCAGTTTTCCAATTCTAATATTTAAGGAGTTCTTTTCTTCAGTGAAGTTTTATACCTGTTTTACCATTTGGCTAATTCTGTTTTTTAAGGCATCTTCTTCAGCATTTTTTTTTGTGCTTCTTTTACCAAGCTGTTATTTCCTCCCCACAATTTTCTTGCATTGCTCTCATTTCTTTTCCCAATTTTTCCTCTACCACTTTTATTTGATTTGAAAAAATCATTTTTGCTGTTTCTTTAGCTCTTTCAGGAATTCTTTTTGGGTTTTTGTACAATTTGTATTTTTCTTTGAGGTTTTGCTTGTGTAACTGTTTTTATGTCATTGTCTTCTGAGTTTATGTCTTGCTTGTCTCTGTCACTATAGTAATTTTTATGGTCAGATTTTTGTTGTTGTTGTTTGCTCACTTTCCTAGCCTATTTCTTTTTTTTTTTCCCACTTTTTGGTGGGGCAATCAGGGTTAAGTGACTTGCCCAGGGTCACACAGCTAGTAAGTGTCAAATGTCTGAGGTTGGATTTGAACTTAGGTCCTCCTGATTCCAAGGCCAGAGCTCTATCCACTGAGCCACCTAGCTGCCCCTACCTAGCCTATTTCTTGACTTTGAACTTTAAAGTTAGACTCCATTCACTTTGGAGGAGGTGGTGGTGAGGAATCTGTCACAAGCTTAAGATGTTTTTGATCTACTTACTCTTTTTACAAC